GAAAGAGGCCGGGGGCTGTTCGTGCGGCGGAGGGGGCGCGCGACGCACGTGAGGACTCGAGCCAATCCGGGTTTGATAATCGGGCACACGAATCGCCGGTGGTTCGAGGCCTTTTGCGAAACCTGGCCCTGCTCATTTCCCCACCCCGGGAGCCGCTTCTCGGGAAATGGAAGTGGAACCCTTTTGCGGCTCTGGGGAAGAAGGAAAGTGTAAGTTCTGGTTGTAGAGCTTGCGGGGCGGGTCTGCTGTGCGTTTGCAGCGCTGGCTTCGCCGCCGCCGCCCCAAACCCGCGCTGAGTTTGTACGGGCAGGGCAGAAACGCGCGGCCAGAGTGCAGGTCTGTATCTCCTGCCCCGGGAGGAAGAGTCGTTCGTTGCACTAAGCCGCAGCCTGACCACGCTTCGTGGAAGTCACCCCCACTGAGTAGATATTTCGCTAGCTGCACTCAGACAAAACCAAGCAAATCGTGGGATGTGTTGTGAACCAGAGCGATTGGGTTGCTTTCTCAGAAAATGTAGGGTAACCCTATCAGTGCTTCTTATTTGAGTTAGTTGTTTGACGACTTGCTAACCCTGCTCTTGACTTGTAGTAATAGATCCACGAAGGTGACCCAGCTAAAGCTAAAAAGAGGGATGCTCGATGTGTGGCAAAAATGCAGTTTACATTGGTTTGGAGGTAGCATTGAATAAACACATTGTCATAATAGTGAAAAGCGAGCCGTTGTTGATGCCTCATTTTTTAAATTAACATCTTATGGCACAATTCCATCCTGAGTTTAATTATCTGATGAGCAAGTTCTTCTGGTGTTTTTCTTTCTCCATCAGAAATCATTCATTCATTCATTCATTCATTCATTCATTCATTCATTCATTCATTCTCTGCACATCCTCAGAAGCACAGGGCTCTTGGCAAATGCAATGGCTTATTCAAATGTGTTTGCTTGCGCAAGGCTTGGTCGATTGAGCAAATTCCACCCTTAACGGTCTGCAAAGTGTAGCCGTGTGACACAATATGCCACATTGTAAGGTTGACTCCATAAACGGGGGTTAAGATGAAGCTGAGCTTCTGAATTATTGAGATGAGGGTAGAATCCTTTGCCAATTGAGCACAACGGATCTTCCCTTGGGGTTTTATTTGCCACGCACTGATCTATGCTATTGCTTAACTATACCCAAAAGACTGCCCCAGGGCACAGGCATACTTCATATTTCTTTGGTGAATCCTTTTATTGGCCTCAATACTCTTGGGATTTTGAGGGAAGTCTGGAGAAGTACCCTTTGGAGATATTGTCTTGGCTGATGTGGGTTTAGTCTAGGCTGTTCAACTGGTTATATGACTCCAAGGGATGTGTTGTTGCAGAGGGAGTAGAGCAAGAAAAAATCCAGTTGCCCCTATATGTAATTTAATAACACTTAATTGCAGTTATCTGTGGCTGTTTCTGTTACCTACTTGCAACTTAAACTGAAGTTTTTCTAATGTTCCTACTACTCAGCAGCAATTTGTGCTTAGAGAACTGTATCCCCTCTGCTCCTTTTACGGGCAAACGTGATGCTTCTCTGGTTCAGATTCACAAAAAGGCTGTGTTTGACTTTTGCTCAAAAGTAGGAAAATGGGCATTGGTCAAAGGGCCGGTCTACATGAATGGAAAGAGTGTTCCTAATTGAGTATAATCAATAACCATTTTCTTAATTAGATTCAAGTCTTCATTACAGCCTGCTTTGTCCTCAAGCTGCCTATGATGAAGGTGGAAGAGATGAACTTTATTTCAAATGCAGACTTTTCACCACCACAAAGAGCTGAATTTACTACTTATGAGGGACAGGGGGCTTGCTTTGAAAGATGAATGGGATGGTCCATCAGCATTCTGAGAGGCCACAGGATTTGGTGTAGAGCAGTGTTTCTCAACCTCCTCAACTTTAAGATGGGCGGACTTCAACTCCCAGAATTCCTCACTGGCTGAGGAATTCTGGGAGTTGAAGTCCGCCCATCTTAAAGTTGAGGAGGTTGAGAAACA